TCCAGAAAATACACTTGTTATTAGTTTTATTTTTCAGACTTGTAGTTGTTTATGTCTCTTTGATTGGCTCTTACCTACCGAGTTAATATTCCCCTCCCGCTAATCCCCCCCCTGCCCCCTTTAGCACCTCACCACCCCCCCGGAGGGACCCGCCCCACTATTTGAGAAGGACTTCTACATAAACATGTTGTTTGATCAGTCTGGTGTAAAGTTCTGGATCAGTCAGGGTTATTTTGAAGGTACAGTAACACCATGTGGCCACTGGATGTATCGGTTTTTCGCCCATCGGTGTATAATTAGGCAGCCATCTTTAATCTGGCCTGTGTTGGAATCTGATTGGGAGGTCAGAGACAGGGTCAACCTGGTGGTTCTCAATTATTTTCATGTCATGTCGCATCCAGGCGGACAGAAACGTTCCAAACCTCCGCACTGAATTGAAATACTATTTTCACACTGACAGCCACTAGAGGGCACTCTAAGCTTGTGTAGCAAGTAGTAGTCCCACTTTTTTTTCATCCTTTGCCTGGTGCGACTTATACTCCAGAGCAACTTATAGTCCGGAAAATACGGTATTTTCATATCTGTACAAACCACTGTATGAGGTGCTGCCCCCTAGTGGCATAGTGGTACATTTATGTCCAGCGTGCCATATTCCATTGGAAGCGACCCTACTGGCTCGCCCCACTATTTAAGAAGTACCGAATTAGGATCCATCGGTCATGTTTTTATCTTCTTTTTATTCTTGTTTTTTTTTCTTTTCCATGAACTAGAAATTCAACCTGAGGACAAGAAATTATTTTTAACCGTGGCTTTTTGGCACAAATAAAATAGTGGTCAACCAGTTTGACTTCATTTCCAGGATAATCTATTCATAATTTTCCCTTTTTGCACCAAGGACTTGTTTCCTGTAAGACAATATTCTCTTAGTACGGTCATCAAGGACAACATAAAATTATATGATTGATACAGAGGAAACTGATTTTCAATGAAATGCAAAGAATTGATCCCCTTTTATCTGGGCCTCGTTCCAAGTGACCCGCAGCCTATAACTGGTCTGGGGTTATTCTAACCAACACTTAGGTAAATCCCTGCTTTCTAACCAACACTTAGGTAAATCCCTGGCATGGACTTTATTATATGGCCAATAAACAATTTTTAAGCTTTCACGGGCCACGGGCCACACAAAATGACTTTGTGGGCCACATTAGGCCCGCAGGCCTTGAGTTTGACACATATGTCCTACATGGAGACATCTAGACCCAGATGGTATCTGAGCATGGACTTCATTATTAGGCCAATAAACAATTTTTAAGCTTTCACGGGCCACACAAAATGAATTTGTGGGCCACATTTGGACCGCGGGCCTTAAGTTTTGACACATATGTTCTGAATGACGACATCTAGACCCGGATGGTATCTAAGCATGGACTTTATTATATGGCCAATAAACAATTTTTAAGCTCTCACGGGCCACACAAAATGACTTTGTGGGCCGCATTTGGACCGCGGGCCTTAAGTTTGACACATATGTTCTGAATGACGACATCTAGACCCGGATGGTATCTGAGCATGGACTTTATTATAAAGCCAATAAACGTTTTTTAAGCTGTCACGGGCCACACAAAATGAATTTGTGGGCCACATTTAGCCCGCGGGCCATGAGTTTGACACATATGTTCTGAATGACGACATCTAGACCCGGATGGTATCTAAGCATGGACTTTATTATAAGGCCAATAAACAATTTTTAAGCTGTCACGGGCCCCACAAAATGAATTTGTGGGCCACATTAGGCCCGCGGGCCTTAAGTTTGACACATATGTTCTGAATGACGACATCTAGACCCGGATGGTATCTAAGCATGGACTTTATTATAAAGCCAATAAACAATTTTTAAGCTGTCACGGGCCCCACAAAATGAATTTGTGGGCCACATTTAGCCCACGGGCCATGAGTTTGACACATATGTCCTACATTGAGACATCTAAACCAGGACGGTATCTGAGCTACAAAAGCCCAAACGGACATTTTTACACTCAGGTGTTGGCAAACGTGAACCCTAAGTTCTAGAAGAGCATGGGAAATGAAGACTTTTTTTAGCCCGCTAATGTCTGACTCTTTGCAGCGCAAACCCTATTACGTCATCGCCGTTAGAGACATTTCCTTATGTTAATCCACCGTCCGACTGGCAGAACCGAACGTGCTGACGGCCGCTGGCCTTCTCCTGCTCTGAGCAGGACCGGACCCTCTGCTGTGTAAACCCTGCAGCACATGTTCCGCGGGCCAACCAAACATCTTGTGTAGTATTTATTTGAACAAGCCAAATGATACTTCTATTCCTCTCAGGAGGAATGTTAAGGTTAAATGATTCCACAAGAAAAACAGCGGGGCTGGGGCGGAGGTTGAGGTTGATTTTGTGCAGATGAGGAAATATGGTAGGCGAGTTGGACCTGGGAGCGCGGCTACAGCGAAAGAGACGGGGAAGAGGTTAGAGATTCCGCGGAAGACATGGTGATTAACTCTGATTTGACAGACAGAGAATTCACTGCTACAGGAACTCGGGGTCAAAGGTCAGACTGAGACATGAACAATAATAGTTCTCACCGAAAAACGTGACCGAGAGTGAGGCCAAAGACTGATTTTTTACCTCAGCGTTGCCATTGGGGAAATTAAGAAGTATCATACTTTCAGTGTGTAAAATTATTGTTATTTGACCCAAACTGTTGTTTGTACAGAAAGAGGTTTTTTTTTTAAATATCACATGACGGACAGCGCATTTAAAACAACAAAGCTATTCTGTGTGTGCGCAGAACCGCAATCACCTAAGGTCCAAAAAAATGACTTCATTCACTGTTATATTTAAACACACAGTCATTTGCAGAGCCGCTGCGGCTGTACTAATGAAAGCTCTTGTATTACACACCTAATGCCAAACTTCCTGAACTTTAACATTGAAGTCGTTAAACAGAGAATCAACATGTATATGAATAATTGCTCGTTGAAAACACAGCCGTTTAATTGCTTTTTCATTCATTTGCTGCAAACCTTGCTTCGGAGCCAGAGAATTCACATTTTGTCTGTTTATTTCCTTTGGAGTTATTTTCCTGAAACTGCGAAGAGAGAACAGAGAAGAGAGTTCACTTTAGTCTAATGTTCGTATCATATGTAGAATATGTTCACCCCGGCATTTTGTTTGTTTTCTTTACTTTTAATATTTTTAAAATTTTTAATTTTTGTGATGTTTTTTGTAAATTATTTAATTGATTTTTTATGTGATTTTTAATTTTAATTTTTATTTTTATTTTTATTTTTATTTTTATTTTTATTT